TCTTTATTATTAGAATTAACAGAAGATGAATATCAATTTGATGTATGTCCAATGTCATGGGATGATGGACGTAATCCTTATGCGAATCCAGCTATTTTAGATGTCTATGCAAGTGGTTGTCTACTACATCCATCCAATGGTCTATTGGTTCTCTTAATTTTGATACATATATTGTATGGATGATATTTGCATTCAATAACTATCATGCTATAATCAATAATTTGTAAACATATATAGGAAAAAACGGATGCTATTTTTAAAGATTTTTTTCTACAGAACTGTGCAAAACCTCTTCTTCTTTTTTGTATGTACAAATAGTCAACTGACTGATTCAGTTGTAGTTTCTTATGTCCTTCCTTATTATAACATCTATGATTTTTGTATATATTTCAATTATGAAAGAATAAAAGAAAATTTGTTTCATTAAACAGTCTGTTTTATTTTAGCGGAAGTTTTAAATCAGCACCAGTAATTCTATATTGAAATTGTTGAATATAATTGAAAGGTCTGATCACGAGTTCATCAGTCAACTTTTCTTAATTTGTTGGAATCAGAAATTTAAAAGTATACCTTTCAATGAAGGTGAAAATTTAGTTTGTCTATCAAAAGGTTATCTAATAGAATCTGGAGTTCTGATATGTAGTATGACATTGTTTTCAAATAGTAATGTTTATCATATAAGCTAACCTTGATCACTGATATTTTTTAAGAATTTTTAAACATAAAGCTTATTACTAAACTTGAAATAACCTAGAAACCAATTGTTGTGACTTTATAAAAGAAAGGACGTATGCTAATTCGTTATTGATCTTCGTCCGGCTTTTTATCACGTGAATTATCCACTGATCGAAATACGACTTTTCTAATATTAACACTGTGACAAATCAATGACGTTCGACCAGTATGAATAGTCTAGCGTCCTTATTAGTCCCTTGTCGCCTAGCCATTCCAATTGAGCCCAGAACACCAATTACAGCTTCTGCTATGAGAATCTATGCGGATCATTTATTTCAAGCATACTCGGTTTATATACCAGACAGACAGACCGTATCACACCATAAATTAGAAAATAATATTTGTATAAGATCAAGCCAAATGTGGCTGTGAACGTGGGAGACAGTAAGCAATAAACTGAATATAATTTACGGACAGTAAATTGTATAATAATAATAATCCATAGGTCAAAATGAAGCTTATAATAAGATGAATATAGACACACACAATCTAGTTACTCAATAGTTAAACAATAAGAATATATATAGAATAATAGTCCATTAATAGGTCTCGGAAGTTAACCGTACTTATGTCTTCACTAGGATATAACACTAACAATCTGTAATGACATTCTAAATGACTTACACAAGTTAAACTAAAAACAGTACTGTTTGACTAAAAAACTGACAAGAAATGCCGAGTTTAGCAATGTCCATATAACATAACTATCATTACTAATGTAAGACATGAATTCGAATACATTGAACATTGGGTATAATTTTAATAATGATATAATTGTGATATCACAATATGTGTAAATAAGAATTTCGTGACTTAGTGTATCCCATTTTCTCAGGGTAAACAAATAATGTAATTTGGTTATGTATTTATTCTGAAGAAAATGATTACACTAAGTTACGAAATTTCAATTATTTCAATTTCTATTCGTTAGAATATCTCAGACTGTTAGCGGGAAATAAACCGATTAAGGCATGCTATGTGCATGATCATGACGGCGCACGCTGATTTGCTAATTTTAAACCAATCAGCTCTGCCAGATTATTGGAGAAGCATCTAGAAGAATTAAACCTAATAAGTAGGCTTATATTCTGTTAGATAATGAGTTACTTACATAATAATTCATATCAATACAATCATATTAAACTAGTCTAATTAGCATTCATAATTCAGACATAAATATAAACTATTGCTTCACATATTTGTTTATTTAACAACGTATATACGATGTGATACTAATTAGATGAGTGAAAGGTTGTTTATTATTATTATTATCAAGGTTAATTAATTTTTCATTGTATACAATATGTTTAAATAAAGGTGTATTGTTTGTGTTGTGGTCATTACTTAAAAAAAAATTTTTTTCAAAAGTTTTCAGTACTAAAATTAAATAGAATAAACTTTGTAAATTACTGTGTAAAAGGAATCTGACTTTTGTGTAATTATTGTTAAGATGTTTTTCTCGTCACATGGTCATTTTACTGTTTCATTTTATTCTAGTTAAGAATTTTTAATTAAAACAAAACATAATGACATCAGAATTCACTTGATATTGTTTGTTTGAATCTTTCCATTTATGTTTAGGACTGCAATTGATCAGTCTCTTATTGGCATATGTGCATCCTGTGCGTATTGCCTCGGTATGGCCTTAATTCACAAGCATTATAAGCAAAGATGGACTCAGTAGCTGAGTGGATAATGCGATGGCGTTTGAATCGCAATGTACTAAATTCCAGCCACAGAGTGAAAATCAACTCTGAGATGCAGGCACATCTAGCTGACGAGTCTCAAATAAGATGAAAAGCGAATCCTGAATTCCACTGCTAGCCACTGTCGATCTTTGCTTATAATAATGATCTCAGGTTCAAATTTAGCAAACTATTGGTTCCATCTCATACTTATCGTTTGTTACTTTAAAGCTTTTAAAAGTACTTCATATCATTACAATTTCCTCTGTTTCTTATGTTGTTAGTTTCTCCTTTTGTGCTAATATCAATCGTCTTAACATGGACTAATATGTATTCGTTTTTAGCTCCATTTTGTCTATGATTGACTCAATATCGATTTACTCGAAAAGCTTCTAAACAATACATATATGGTCTACGTTGGAGTGCATTTTAAAAATATATAAATAAATAATATTACTTTCAATAAACGCTCTTCAGGTTCTACAGTTATATATCCAAATTAATCATTCAAAAAGAGCCAGGGTTTATGACAAATACGTCGTTTAAAATCATAGCATATCAATTCAATACTGTTTGTAAAATCAAATATTGTTAATACTGAAATGATGAATATACAGTGTTAACTGGAATAAGTTCATACGCTTACCGAAATTGTGAGACTAATGATTAGAATAAGTATGGGTAACATAGGGTGAGAGAAATAATAATGGAATTACAAATCAGAATAAATGTTTGGTCTAGGATAACGAAATAGATACATTAATATCAATTAGTTAAGAAGCAATAAGTAGTAGTGGGTGCTAAGTAACCTTTTTAAATGTAAGATAACTTTAAGCTATAAATATACAAAGAGAAAGGCTGTATGTACATTAGTCAAGTTATTTTTCCATATCAAAATGATCAACTAATTAGGCTAGAACTTGGGCAAGGTAGAAGAAGAGGTTGAGGATATTTATTTCGGAAGCAAAGCTTCGACTTTTTTATTCGAATATTTATTGCTGCAGCCGTTTAAAGAATTCTTGGTTCGACGGATTTAGGTAGATGACTTTGAACAGGATATTTTACTGTAAATAGCTTTTCTATGATGGTTGTGTGATCCAGTTGCCCTATATGAGATAGAATTAAATAATTAACAGTTTTGACTATAGCACCGCTGGACCAAACATCTATTCTGATTTGTAATTACATTATTATTTTTCTCACCCTATGTTATCCATACTTATTCTAATCATTAATCTCACAATTTCAGTACGCGTATGAACTTATTCCAGTTAACACTGTATATTCATCATTTCAGTATTAACAATATTTGATTTTAAAAACAGTACTAGATTCATATGCTATGATTTGTAAACGACGTATTTGTCACAAACCCGACCTTTTTTGAATGATTAATTTGGATATATAACCTGAAAAAAGTTTATTGAAAAGAATACACCCCGTTCATACATCACGGTTTTTTTAATATGATGATAGTTTTTAACAGTTAACAAACAGTTAGATCTCAGGAGTCAATTCCAGTAATCAGTCAGTTTGTTAGCCTAACTACACACATCTTAACCTTCATTTCCATGTAGTGATTAAAAATGAACAACTGATTGTTCAATCCAAACTTACATCCAATTTTTCCGCATCTTTATTCTTATATAAGCAGCCTTATTAATCAAGAGATTATTAACACTGTCTTCATTATTAACATCATATTGTCAGCAATTAATTGGTGCATTGACTTTTTGAATAATCCAATGCGAAACTAAATATTATTGTTCATCCATCACGAAAAGGGGCTAATTGAAAAAAAGTGTTTCTTCATTTAATTAGTGTTTTTGCTCTTAATATGGAGATACTTAAATTATATATATATATCAGAAAAGTGGCATCTGATTGCTTGGTAAACGGGCTACAACTTACTGGAACTACATAATGATATATCTAAAAAAAGGCTTGATCCATTACATCAAGACAATGAAAATTTGAAAGGCTTTTCAATATGGAAGTTTTCAAAAAGGAAAATACATTAGAAAATGAGATTATTCACATTTATATTACAGAAGTGATTGTTCAATTCACCAATAATTAAAAGATATTTGCAAAAAGCAAATAGAAAATCAACGAATATATATTAAAGGCATTATGATATTAAAGAAGTGTAATAGAGATAGTATGTGCATTATTGCAATAGTTCTATTGTTTTTTTCTACAGTATAGCTATGAAATAAACTGAATATTAAATGTAAGGAAAAACAAAAAAAACAGAAAGCCTAGAGACGAGCTGTTCAATAAAACTGACTAAAAGTTATTCTATATATTAGGTGGGGTTAGAGTGTTAATTGTTTACAACAAGGCAATCACCACTAAATAACAACAAGAGCACATGTTTGAATGTTTGTAAAATAAAAATAAGGGAACAACGAACAAACTTAAAATAAAATTGAATAAGTAATTGTTTTATAAACGTTTTACAATATTTTTAATCACATAAATCAGTGGTAAGTGATTATTGACCATAAACAACTAATATCGAATTTAATTAACTGTAGATATCTATAAAATTGCTTTATTTTCCGTCAATATTGTATTTTACATTGATGATGATGATGATGACGATGCTTGATTATTATCTTCACTCTGTGCAAGTATTCTTCGTATATGTAATGGTTTATTTGGATAGATTGTATAACTAGTCGGTTTCATATTATTTTTTTGTGAATTTTGTTGATTTAAAGAATTATCAAGAGATGTTTGTTGATTGTTGTTATTATTATCATAATTATAATCTGTGATGTCATCCGGCAATGTGAAACCACCACTTGCACCAATACAGGTAGCATGCTCAGGTTTAAGTAGCAGTTCTGTTAGTACAGCAATATCAGCATCCATTTTTTCTTTTGGCCACTCACCATAACATGCGATTATTTCACGTCGAACTTTTGTTGCAGCACCAGAATTCCCATACTCTATTAATTGTTCCTAGATGTGTACAATTTTTCAAAATTAGAAAATCGCCAAATTATTTAAAACAAAGGATGAAAACGTGCCTAATTAATGAAAAAATGTAATTTATCAGTCAGTCAGTCAGCCAGCTACAACGTAGGACCAGACACATTTATGCATCGGTCCGAGTTGCCATACCTCGTTAGCACAACAAGATGAACACCGAATTCATATAAGTAGTTAATTTAGTGGTGGTAATATATAAAAGAAAGGCTTTATATAAGGATATAATATAGGAAGGAAGGCTGATTTGAAACAATTTTAATCTGATAGTTTAAAAGAAGACAGGGAGCGTATACACCTGCGCCATTGTGATCGATTCTCAGTTATGTCACCTAGAGTCTCCAACCACCGGTTACGATAGTCACACGGACCCCAACCAGGTAGTCTGCATCTACCAACATGGCTCAGACTAGAAGTTAGTGACTTCAAGCTCTGATGCCACGTTTTGGTTTGGCCGCCCCTAACTCTTTTCCAACCATCCCCAGTACTAGTCAGCATAGCACGTCGTGGTAATCGGTGTTCAGGCATACGTAACACGTGGCCTAACCATCTCAGTCGATGAAGATTCATCACCTCTGATTTACCATCGTTCCCTAATACCCTGCGTCTAACCTCACTATTACTTACCCGGTGATCCCAGCAAGTGCGAGCAATATTTCTAAGGCATCTGTGGTCAAATACTAGTAACCTACGGGTATCTTCTACTCTTAATGGCCATGTTTTTCACAGCCCTAAAGAAGAACAGAGCGAACTGATGCGAAGTATACTCGTCCTTTAATTGATAGACGGATATCTCGTCTTCGCCATAGGTGACGTAAGTTGGCAAAAGCCAAACGAGCTTTTCGAATCCGTGCTGAGATTTCGTCAGACACCAACCCATTAGGGCTGATCAGACTTCCAAAACAAGTGGAGTTGTCGACGCGTTCGACTACTTCACTCCCTATCCTTAGTTCGGGTGTTGACGCAGGCCAGTCCTGGAGTAACAATTTACATTTGCATGGGGAGAAACGCATCACAAACATCCTGGCATTATTACTAAGTTCCAACAGAAGACTCTGCATTTTGCCAGCGTCTTCACCAAACAGGACTATGTCATCTGCATATTCTAAGTCGCTTAGTGGTCCCCCTGGTAGGAGATCAATTCCTGTAAATTCAATCGAAGAGATTGTTATTTCCAGAAACAGGTCTATAATGAAGTTAAACAAAAATGGGGATAGTGGACAGTCTTGTCGGACACCACTTGAGGTTGCAAAATCATATGACAGTTCGCCATAAGCTCTCACTCGACTGGTAGTGTTCGAGTAAAGAGCCTTCACAAGGTTTATGTACTTCTCAGGTACACCTTTCAATGACAGACACTGCCACAGAACCTCTCGGTCTACAGAGTTTGAGCTAATGGAAATGTATCAGACTCTACATTGCGTTTAACTGATTTTAGTGACGAGTTCAGATATCTGAAGCCTAGTATACTACTTACTTTTGCATAGTAAGAGAAGAGTGAATATTTTGTAATAACTCGATAACATTGATAATTTCTTAGGACGTAAATGTTTGCCTTAGAATCTTTGCACGTAGTATACTATGAACAAATCAACTAATAACTATTAAATGTAATGTTTTTAACATCTTGTTATCTGGATGGAACTTCTGTTTCCAGTAGTTAAGAAGCGATGGACAGTATTTGTAGAAGATACCAAATAAACTGTTGAATCCTTCAGAGGATCAAAAACCATCAGATGGATTCATAATGACAAATAACTTAATAATACAGTGAACACAAAAATACTGACTTATTTTTGTATTCGTTGTTTAAGTCTTCCCATTGATGTTTAGAACTGTGATTGATCAATCTCACATTGGCATATGTGTATACAGTGTGTCAACTGGATGTACCTGTACACCATTACACAAGCTAGTGGCTATCTAGACTCAGTAGCTAAGTGGATAACGTGACGGAATTTCAGGCGAACGGTACTGGGTCCGAGTCCCGAAGTGAACATCAACTCTGGGATGTGGGTACATCCGGCTGACGAGTCCCAAACAGGACAGGAAGTGCTTCCCGTCTTCTACTGATAGCTACCACCCATCTCTGCTTATAAACACATTGGGTGTTTTTACTTCAAATCGTTAGTTTTCTCTAAGCATTGGGATAGTTTTCACCAAAGCTTGCTTTTGAATTTGGCCAAATGAAATAACAAGATATGAGCGTTCGGGGTTAATGCTTCACTTGTTACTGACCATTTCTACCAATGCAACTGGCAAGGTTAGTAGTGAAGTTTTGTTCAAATAATGGATGATGAATCCGTAAAAGAGCAGAATGATGCAAAAACATATTTAAGCATTGAAAAACAAATAAGTGGGAGAATATTTCGACTTACCAAAAATCCACTATTCGGGCATGCGCATGGTCTTGCACCAACAACCGCTCTAACCAGCTTTGGTAGAGGCATATTTGTTATCGTCATAAGATAGGCCAAAGTTATCGTTACGCTACGGGAGACGCCACAAGCGCTTTTTAAGTAATATGGGAACAAAGATAGAGGGTTATTACGCATAATTATTACAATTTTGATAAAATATATGAGATTGAAATATACCATTCTATTACCCTTATCTTTACTCCTTTGTTTGATCTTTTGCTGGTAGTCTACTTAGCAAATAATGAATTGTGGTGACTTGAACATATAAATATATCAGTGATTGTACAGCTTTGAAAATGAATTCGCCGAAAAGAGAACTCTTCGCTGAACAAATCTTTCTTATTTAATATAAATACTTGTCTATTTAATCACAATAAGGTTTGTATCGCAACCTGTGAAGGATAAGAAAATCACCTACACCTAAACTAATTAGACAGGTTTGGTTTGTAATTCGTAGAAATTAAATTTAACTCAACTTAGTTATCAAGTACTCAGATTTGAACCACATTATGTGTAGCTATCAAAACCAAGGCTAAGTGGTCGGAGTTGAGACCACACATATACGGGTTGAAAGCTGACTGTTAAAAACACTAAGTCACGGTGTCAATAAGTTTTATATTTGATTATTCCCAGTAAATTAGTAAATTGATTCAAAAGTCAAACTTTCTGCTACGGAACTACGAGTCTGAACGTATGCTTTATTATGTGGATTTAATTAGTGAATAATTCGATACATGAGCTGTCTGATAGGTAGACCTATAACATAATCTGATAAAGAACTCCAGCACCGAAATTACTAATACTAGCCTCAATACAGAATTTCAGATGTTCGTTTCAAGATACTCTTTGGTTCACTATACAACAGTACATTAGAGAGCTTTTGATTGAAACTCCCGATATGACCGAGATTGCGGAGTCGTCTTCTTGAAATGATCTCATACGGACATTCTTTCATAGGCCTCCAAATTCCCTGGTACGGCCGAGAGTATGGAGAGTCCACTCTCCCTCCCGAAATGCTTTCATATGGCTACGCGTATATAGCCTCTCTGGTTGAACTCCGCCTGTAGCTCTTCTAGAGTTACTGCCGGTCCCAAGCCCGGGTAAAGGAGGAGGGTTGGGCATGGGGTTAGCGACCCCATCCCGTAGAAAAGCTAACTCGCTAAAAAAACGCTAACCAGAAAAAAATAATTCAAACCATTTAAACTTCTAACAACCAGAGCAACACTCTTTATAGGTAAATGGAACGTCCGGACAATGTGGGAGACAGGAAAGACCAGCCAAATAGCAATGGAAATGAGGAGATACAACTTGGCAGTACTCGGAATCAGCGAAACCCATTGGACACAAACTGGACAACAAAGGCTAGGTACAGGAGAGATGCTGCTGTACTCCGGTCACGAAGGGGAAAATGCTCCACACACTCAGGGAGTTGCTCTAATGCTGTCCAAAGAAGCAAGAAATGCACTTGTGGGATGAGAATCTCATGGACCCAGGATAATCAAAGCATCATTCAGAACAAAGAAGCAAGGGATCACAATGAACGTTATCCAATGTTATGCACCCACCAATGATAGCAACGACGATGATAAAGATCAGTTCTATGAAAGGCTGAAATCAATTGTAGCAAAGTGCTCAAGAAAGGACCTCACCATCCTGATGGGAGATCTAAATGCTGAAGTTGGAGTGGACAACACAGGATATGAAGATATAATCGGACGACATGGACTAGGAGAAAGAAATGAAAATGGGGAGAGACTTGCAAACCTATGTGCTTTCAACAAATTGGTTATAGGCGGCACAATATTCCCACACAAACGCATACACAAAGCTACATGGATCTCACCGGACCACACCACAGAGAACCAGATAGATCACATCTGTATCAACAAAAAATTCCGAAGATCAATGGAAGATGTAAGAACCCGGAGAGGAGCTGACATAGCTTCAGATCACCACCTGGTTGTGGCCAAGATGAGACTGAAGCTTAAAAAAGACTGGACAACTGGACAAACAGCACTACAAAGGTTTAATACAGCCTTCCTTCGAGATGCTGACAAGCTTCAAGAATTCAAGATAACTCTCAACAATAGGTTCCAAGCTCTACAGGATCTACTGAAAGAACAAGAAATTACTTTGGAGGACAACTGGAAAGGGATAAAAGAAGCACTAACTTCAACGTGTCAGGAGGTTCTTGGTCCTAAGAAGCATCATCACAAGGAATGGATCTCTCTGGGAACCCTGGACAAAATTCAAGAAAGGAAGAACAAGAGACTAGCAATTAACAACAGCCGAACACGAGCAGAGAAAGTCAAAGCACAAGCAGACTACGCAGAAGCAAACAAGCAAGTGAAGAAAAGCATTAAAGCCGACAAGCAGAAATACATGGGAGAACTAGCAATGGCGGCGGAAAAAGCTGCAAGAGAAGGGAATATGAAACAACTATATGATACAACGAAAAAATTGGCAGGGAGATATAGCAAACCAGAGAGACCAGTCAAGGACAAAGAAGGAAAGACAATCACTGAGATTCAAGGACAGAAGAAAAGATGGGCAGAATACTTCGAGGAGCTGCTGAATAGACCAGCCCCATTGAATCCACCGAACATCGAAGCAGCCCACACAGACCTTCCAATAGATGTTACTCCACCAACGATCGAAGAAGTCAAGATGGCCATCAGAAAAATCAAAAGTGGGAAGGCGGCAGGACCTGACAATATACCAGCAGAAGCACTGAAGTCAGACATTGAAATAACTGCAAACATGCTTCACCTTCTATTCAAAAAGATTTGGGAAGAGGAACAAGTGCCAACGGACAGGAAAGAAGGATATCTCATCAAGATACCAAAGAAAGGAGATCTGAGCAAATGCGAGAACTACAGAGGTATCAGTTTGTTATCAGTACCAGGAAAAGTTTTCAACAGAGTGCTGCTGAATCGGATGAAAGATGCAGTAGACGCCGAACTAAGGGATCATCAGGCTGGATTCCGTAAGGATCGGTCGTGCACAGACCAGATTGCGACACTACGGATCATCGTTGAACAATCAGTTGAGTGGAACTCATCACTATACGTCAACTTTATTGACTACGAGAAGGCGTTTGACAGCGTGGACAGGAGAACATTATGGAAACTTCTTCGACACTATGGAGTTCCTCAGAAGATCGTCAACATTATCCAAAACTCATACGATGGATTACAGTGCAAAGTGGTGCATGGAGGACAGCTGACAGGTGCATTTCCAGTAAGGACCGGAGTCAGACAAGGCTGTCTACTCTCGCCATTCCTCTTTCTTTTAGTGATTGACTGAATTATGAAGAACTCGACATCTGAAAGGAAATACGGAATACAATGGACTTCTCAGAATCAATTAGATGATTTGGACTTCGCAGATGACCTAGCCCTCCTCTCTCATACACACGACCAAATGCAGATGAAGACAGCAAATGTAGCAGCAGCCTCCGCATCGATAGGTCTCCACATTCACAAAGGAAAAAGCAAGATTCTCAAATGCAACACGGAGAACACCAACCCAATCACACTTGATGGCGAAACTCTGGAAGAGGTGGAAACATTCAAGTACCTGGGGAGCATCGTTGATAAACAAGGAGGATCGGATGCAGATGTAAAGGCGAGGATTGGCAAAGCAAGGGCAGCATTTCTACAATTGAAGAACATATGGAACTCAAAACAACTCTCAACTAATTTCAAGGTTAGAATCTTCAATACGAACGTCAAGACAGTCCTACTGTATGGAGATGAAACGTGGAGAACTACTACGGCCATCATCAGGAAGGTACAAGTATTTATAAACAGTTGTCTACGCAAAATACTCAACATCCACTGGCCGGATACTATCAGCAATAGCGTTTTATGGGAGAGGACAAACCAGCTTCCGGCTGAAGAGGAAATTAGGAAAAGACGTTGGAAGTGGATCGGACATACATTAAGGAAATCACCAATGTGCATCACGACTCAATCCCTAACTTAGAATCCGGAAGGGAAGCGGAAAAGAGGAAGGCTAAAGAACACACTACGCCGGGAAATAGAAGCCGATATGAAAAGGCTGAATAGTAACTGGAAAGGAAGGCTCAGGACAGAGTTGGATGGAGAATGCTGGTGAGCGGCCTATGCTCCTCGACGAGGGGTAACAGGCGTAAGTAAGTAATATAGCCTCTGCCACAGAAGTCCTACTCACTGCCTTCTCGTGACATTACTGTTGTTTACGAAATTGAGAGAACGAAAAGGGAATGTCCGGCGCTTTAACCGGGTTGGTGGACACGGAGAGTCCACCTAAGAGAGTTGGAAAACCCTGATTTCAAACCAATAGTGCACATGGGCTCCAGTATCCTGATGGAACGAATGACGTATGAACCAATCGTTGGTCACCGGCTACCATGGGACTGCATCTCCTCACGATGCTCCATTGCCTTGTGGAATAGACCTTTAGGTCAAAGGCTCCGGATGTGACCCCTATGAAAACCACCTGCTTCAGTCTGGGCACCTGGGCAGTATCACAGCCCTCACATAAATCAAATAAGATTTGTGTGGCGCATATGTATCTGGTGCTTCCTTGTACCAATATTTATGTGTTTAAATAGAATAAAATAAAATTCTTTCATAGTCTTTGGTACGAAAGTCCCATTCTTAACCTCTAAGTGCGCGGTGCTGTTTCAAAGAAAGCAGTTAGATGAAAAAGGGTACCCGTAGTTTAAACTACGCTGGTAAGTACAGAGACACCCCCTTAGAAGAGTTGGACAAAGTCGATTACAAACCAATCGTAAATATGGTTCCCAGGGTCCTGACGGGAGAAAGAGAGTACGAACCTACTTTGGTCAACAGCTAACATGAGATTGTGTCTATCGAAATGAAAAATTGGTGAGGAAAAAACTAGTTTCTAGGCAAGTTAGCGTTCCACAAAAAAGTGCTGGTAAGGACTAAGTGTGTGTAGGGCACCTTTAATATATAGAACCACGATGCTTGCGACTTTGCGAAATGTTTCGCGTATCAGCATTGGGTGTCTGAATTATTATTATTATTTAAACACATAGATATTGGTACAAGGAAGCACCAGATACATATGCGCCACACAAAACTTATTTGATTTGTGTGAGGGCTGTGATACTGACCAGGTGCCCAAACTGAAACAGGTGGTTCGCTTAGGGAGCCACACCCGGAGCCTTTGACCTAAAGATCTGATCCTCAAGGCAGTGGAGCATCGTGAGGAGATACGTTACAAAATTGCATATTAAAAGAGACAATGAACCAATGACAGTTAAGGACCTCCCAAGTGGGAAAGACAACATGGTGAAAACGGACGCTTTTGGCGTGAAGACAAGAAATTCGAGTTCCGAAAATAAAATAACAAAAATAAGACTATAACCAAGTAAGTTCTGGGGATCCAGCATCTCCGACAGAAACAGGTGGTCACAGTGTGGTAATGAGTTGAAACTAGCAGCTGCATATGGTAACTGCCGGAAGCTGTTTCATATCATCTGTCACTGGTAGCAAGACATCTAGTGTCAATAAAACAACTCATACTTTTTGGGACGCTAATTAGTAAACAGAAAAAGGCATCTTGAAAGCTGGACAAAGAACTTCAAAGTATAGTCTAACTGGATTATCGCTCTAGTGACATTCAAAACTGTCCGATGGCTAGGGATCCGCCAAGCAAGATGGATTTCAGTACGAGACCACACATAAGGCGACACAGTTCACCAGGTCTACAAGGACACCCTTGGCCATTTTCAAGGATGGTGGCAAATCAATAGTCAGAGAACCAACAAGGTTAGTTGGAAAGCCGGAAGTAATCATGTTATGGTTCTCTGATATATTATTCACAAAAGTAGGACCAGCTAGCTCAAAATAAAGGGATTCTTCGCTGTATTTTGGAGGGAAGTTCGTAATAAATATTACTCTTAACCATGTATCTACTGATTATACGTGGGACTAATTTATGAACGGTCATAAAAAGGCATTGTGACAACCCATCTACCTACAAAGGTCACAAAAGTTATAAATCAGTACGAGTTGCGATTGGGATTTAAGGTTAAAAAGTAAATTATAAGTCTTCATCACGAACCAGCATCAGCTATAATGTCAAAATGGTACTTAACTGTATAAATGAGTGGGTTCCACGTCAAAGTCCAAAACTTACACTCTTAATTGCATTGGGTTGTCCATATATTACAATTTCGTCTCAACTGAAATGTGTACTCCTAAGTACACTTGGAAGTCCGAATCAATAACCTGAAGAATATGTGGTTTGTGTGACCTCACTGTGCACGGATGGAACATAAAAGCTAAAGTTATAGTCAGTGTACAAAGAAGTCCGAAAGAATAGGGAGCCAGTTTTTGTCTTAAAAAAAAAACTACAAAGTACTGAAATACCATGCAAAAAAAAGATTTTTGACTTACCAATGCACAAGCACGGCACCATTATATACCCTTGCCTCGTGAATGAAAAAGGATGCATCTCTAAAATATTTAGCAATATTTTCTTTTGAGTCGTCATCAGCTTGAAGCAACAATTGCTTTCTAGTAGGACACTAACTATTGTTGAGCAAAGAACATACAAAGTTACCTTAAAATTGTAATGGAGAACGCTACACACATGAGTAATGCCGTTTTCTTCTAGTTGACTTTTTGATTGAGCGCTAGCAACTCCCCCGATGTATAAACCAGGAACTATTCTTGACATCGACCCACCCATTTTCTATTTTTTGTCACGAAATACACATCAATGCTCCGGAAATGAATCAGCTGTAATAAAATCCCTTATGCACCCATCGACAACTCAGTTGGATGCAACACACACATTTGAACTAACCACACTCAATATAAAGCATTTTTCAGACAGAAAAAACTGTTTATAACTTAGTATCACTGTCATGAGATCACATAAACCGACAAACTTCTTCGAGATCATCTCTTTATATTACGATATGTTTCAGGGTTTTTGATTTTGTTCCAAAACCGTAGTCTAGCCACATGACCACGCTAATAATCGTGATATTAATAGTTAATTGAGGCGTTGAAATTTTTTCAGCATAAGCGAGTGTAATCACTCTAGAGACGTGGAATCATTAGGTGCACTGGCTATCACATTTTTGGGATGTCTGAATGATTATGAAATTAGAATAAACAGGAGTGGTGGGAAAATAAAGGTTGGAACGAGTAAATGAACAGTTTACATGAACAGTGTGAGCTGATAAAATACGAGAGTAACGGATAGGTGTAGGTTACAGAAAACTAGATTGTTAATGACGACTTTTGTAATTACAGTTAGTAAAACTGTAAACTGCTAGTAAAACTAGCATGAATAATAGTTGCGGTTAGTGAGATAATCTCGACAGGCATCAGGTATTGCTATTTCCATGTGAAAGATGGTGAGTCATGGTTTTTGTGCCTCGTAATAATAGTTTGAACCAGAAAGCCGTAGTCATGTTGGTCGGTAAAGAAAACTCTAACGTTGGCTGGTTGTTCACACCGATTCCGTCTAACACGAGTAGGTTCACAATCATTCGACACAGATAATCTATGCTGGTGATCTACAAGCTGCACTACTCTTACATAACAACCTTGTGAAACGAGAGGATACTTAGATAAACTGAAACAACAATGTGGTTTTTGGTCAAGCTAGATGTCCTGAAATAAGTAAAAGAATTAAATGGGGAAATATAGGAACCCCACTCGCCTAGAAACGGTAAGGCTTCACTGCCTCACCAACTTTGCTTGAAACGACTCAACATCTCGACTCTAGTCGTGTACGGGAGGGATCCAAATATACGTGTATAGGGACTAAATAACGTGAAGTACTTTCCGCCAGTCGATATATTGCACACCTGATGTATTTATCGGGTTATACTCTAACAGAGTTTAGATAGTGTTAGACACTGATATTTAATTTGTTAAGTCAGTAAATGGTCTCAGCAACTGGAGTGAGAGTAGAGATAAACCGTGCTCTTAATATTTTTATCTTTTCAACATTGAAAAAGAACAATTGATAAGAAGATCAAAGGTGTTATTTAATTACTCGATCTGTGGACCTAACATACTGCAATCGAACTTGCACAATTTAGCTTTGTAAACTGGGTGATCTTGAGTTGAAGACACGATTGAATGGAATACTAGACTGGCGTCTTGGCGGTCAGCCTGTCTGTATTAATTGCAAAAATGAAATTCGGTCTGATGACTGGTAGCAATCAGAAAGGACTAATACATACTCTATCAGTCTTCTCTACGCCAATATCAGAATCAAGGAGATTATAGTGAGTACAACAAGGAGTATTTTATTTGGAATTCAAATCAGACATGGCATCTTATACGAAAATAATCAGAAAAATCATACTTCACTGCTTTTTTCTTATCCGTTCAAAGAACGAACAGATTCTAAACAGTGAAGTGGAATATAAATAAAACTGGTTAAATGGAACTATTGTAACAAGAGTATAACCACACTTCTGCATGTGCCAGAATCGTAACTACTGAAAGATTTATTCGGATTAAGCTTTTATGTTCAGGACAAAGTCTAGTAGATCATCCTAAGTTTGGTAATTACCTTTATAAGGCAAAAATGTATTCGATTTGGCTACTTGTTTGTCAAAGATTCATCAACATTTGACTGATTTTACCAACACTTTTAGCCATGTAAACTGTCGATTTACATAAATGCTTGTGGCATTGACCAACATTTGGAGTGAACAGGTTGTAATTCATTTAATATAAAAGTGACTGACCTACGTAAAGAAACTATGCCGTACAATGGCAAAAATGAGAATTACTGGTTATGAGACTGTCGTAAATGGCTAGTATTGTTTGAAATACTTCAAACCTTCAGAGTGGATAGCTAAGCTAAAAAAGCGACATGAACAAGTGGAGCGACAGGATCCGTTTAACTGAAGATTAATTACCTATATACTAGGTTTCGAAAAGATATTAGTATATATATATATATATATATATATATATATATACAAAGCTCGCTAAAGAGGAAGCGAGCACAATCGGGAAAAACAAAATCAGAAATGTGAATACATCCCATCTAATGTGAGTACTATCCAAATAATAAATTACCTAACGCTGATGTGAAAACTTGGTATACTCGAGGATATTTGTAGAGCGAGAAAGGTACAATTTTCGGTCCACTTATAACCAGCAATCTATGTCGATTCATTACTTTATAATAGACTGTGCAATTATTAATTCACCAGTTCATAACCACATTAGATTTGATACATTTACGTAATTTCCATACGTATCCTGTGTTATCGGAAGGCACTTGTTGCGAAGACTATCAGCGTTTGGAAAACAAAAAGCTTGGAAATGAAAGGTTATTCTAAGTACTAATCATCAGTTCAAAACAAGTGAGAGTAAAAATGAATTATTTTGGATAGTATACAGATTGGTACTTGAACCAATCTTTGTGTGAAATACTGAGTCGATTTACATAATCCGAAGTGACAATGAAATAAGATAAACAAATGCACACACATTCACCTGTATAGTAAAATTGCAGATGGAAGAAACAACACGAAAACGTACAAATAGTAGTTGGCACAATAGGGATATACTTAGTTACCGAAATTATCCGACACTAAACCAGTTAAAATCTAAAGCTCGTTTAAAGTTGTCATAAATACGCCAGTAGCAATTCTGGAGCTACTGCAAGCACAGGTAAAGGAGAATCGCAGTGCATGGGGACGGAAACCCCATCCTATAGAAAACAAGATTGCTTAAAATCACCAACCATATTACACAATTGAACCATTTAAACTCTACCCTCCGAGTTGAAGGGAGAATTGTGACGTCTCAGAATTAAGACCGAGATTCTTTGGAAGTAATGAGGTCGATGCCCCTGCTAACAACCAGAGCAACACTCTTTATATGTAGATGGAACGTCCAGACAATGTGGGAGACCGAGAAGACCAGTTAAACAGCAACGTAAAGGAATTTATACAAATTGGCAGTACTCGGAATCATTGAAACCCATTGGACCCAAGCTGGACAGCAAAGGCTAGGTACAGGAAAGATGCTGCTGTACTCTGATCACGAAGGGGAAAATGCTCCACACACTCACAGAGTTGCTCTAATGCTGTCCAGAGAAGCACGAAATGCACTTTTAGGATGGAAATCTCACGGATTCAGAATCATCAAACATCATTTAAAACAAAAACGGAGTGAATCACATGAATGTTATCCTATGATGTTTTGAACCCACTAATGACATCAACGACGACAATAAAGATCATTTTTATGGAAGGTTGAAATCAATCATAGTGAAGATAGGACTAGTATTCTGATTTTACAACCTGCTACCAGTGGCACCTTCTATATACGAAGCTTTCCCCAACCAAATGAAATCCGAAGTCAGATGCGAAGAGATAGGAAAGATATATTTGATACGTTATCAATATATCGAGAAGCGTTTGATCGAATCTGGCTAGTGAACGTCGGAGCAGTGTCTCACGCTGGGTCAAAACGTGATGTGGTACAGATGCATGACGGAAAGCCTTCAGTTGAACAAGCCCACTTAAACAAAGTGATCAGCATCCAATGTCGAACACTTAGAAAGCTATTGATTTTGAGGAATTATTTGCAGCTACAGATCACTCCCCCCTAGTGAGGTAGTGATGACCATAATACGTGACCAGCCAGAAATTTAAACCTAACGAGTTTGTCGTTATTAAACACTCTTCTGATAGGTTGCTATGTTTATCAGCGTCTGGTCTTCTTTCCTTGCACGAAGAGACAACAATGTACAACATAGTAATAAGGAAACAAAGTACAATGAAAATTTCAGTTCCTTGTGAAACTTCTTCGTTCTTTTCAAGTCGTCCTGGAAAAGTAAAAAAATAGAACATGTGAGTGCATGTCGAAAATACACTCGTACTTGCGTAAGGACACAAGATGAGCGGGAAAAAACTAATACGCTTGCGACAGCGTAAAGGCGTTTGGAAGAAAATTGTTTTTATTGGTTTTTTATGTAAAAAAATGTATATACGCTCAGATGTAAAAAGATTGTTTTTTTAAATAAACATATCAAAATAAGCATATTAAAATAATTTTTTAAGGAAAAATAAATAATGCAAAGGAAATTCGAGATAAAGTTTGTGTCCTACGTGCAATAGTCGTTTAGGTGTTCTGGAAATCTTACTGTTCTTCCAGAATGCGTTGTCTTAGGTTTATTTTCCGATGTTGACGAAGTATCAAAGTGTGTGTCGGCTGTCATGTGGGGTACTACGGGTATGGGAGCCGTGTCGTTCAAATTTACCGAAAGAAAATCGATGTAGCTAGGGTTTCCTTCTAAGTACGATGCTTTGGGGCGATCGATACTGGTACTATCGTTCGTGCCGTTCTTATCGACTACACAGTAATTAGGTTCATGTTGAAGAACTTTGAAGAGTCCTTCATATGCTGATTAGAGAGGTCCTCGATTTGTGTCTCGACGAACGAAGACGTGTACTATGTCGTACTTCAGGTTGAACAAAAACATCAGCTGATTGATGTCGAGTGTGAGCTGGTTTAACTGAACGCATTGCGTTTGTACGCCTGCTCGTGTAAGTGTTTAGATCCATGTTCAATGAAGAAGCTGAAGGATATACGGATTCTCCTGGGAGTCGGAGTGTCGTTCCGTAAACGAGTTGAGATGCAGTGTATCCAATGTCAGCTTTCACCACATTGCGGATACCTAGCAAGACGAGTGGAAGAGCG